GTTCAAACCCACCAGCCACTCCTCAGAAGGAAGATGGGGTAATCTACTTCCGTAGTGATACTGCCTCGGCAACCCAAGGAGGGGTCGCTATGAGTCGGGTCCAACTTGACGGCACATAACAACAATAACAACATGAGCCAGACCTTGGACCAGGTGCATTTTATGTGATGGCATCAGTCCTTCAAACATCCACAGGATGGATCAATACCATATCACTGGTTTTTAAGATGGTTTGAAGCTGAAATTTGAGCTCAGGTCTCAAGCTTGCGCTGTTTCCATTATTGGACAAAACCAAATTGAACACTGAGAGAAGTATGATACTGACAGATACGACCACTTCACGTTGGCATATTTTCCCTTCATTTTTTTTTCCTTAAATAATTGAAGGATTTCCTTTAAAAATGTGAGATTTTTTTTGCAGTATTTCAGCAGAAATTTATCATGTTTTACCTTAATATCCCTACAGCTAGATATAATAGCAAAAAATATTTTTTCATAAGACCAGCTTACATGTATCAATATACCTATAAGGCTAAAACTCTATGCTGATTTCTTTATTTTTCTCTTCTAATACCCTTAAAAATAAGGGGGATTTCTGCAGAGTCCTTAACAGGGTAGTAAACAAGAGAAAAGTCAGCATCACTCTATTACTCTAAGAAAAAATAGTTCTCTCACTGTGATGCCTTTTATCTTTCCTATAGAATTCTACTTTGTTATACAGAACAGTGAGTTAATAGACTTCAGGATAAAGGAAATAGCTGAAAATGGGCTTAAAGGCACATATATCCAGGCACCTTCAATTAATGATGATACAGACTAAAGGAAGATTGGAGTATATGGATGAGTTTCAGTCTTTAATTATCTAGACTAAGACATGCAGGTGGTACTTTGAATTAACACAATGTTCAAGAACCTGGGAGTTCTGGTTTTCCATGCTATCTTTCCCTTTGTAGACGTCACAGTTTAGAAGTCTGTTTCCTGCCACAGTAGGCCAGAGAGTGCAAGTTTGATTTTGGGAATTATATTCCCTGCTGCCCAAATAGCAGAGATCATGAGAAAGTAGTTGATATTTGTTGTATACTGTAGAATTCAAGATGATTTCTACATATGAGCTATGAGTCAAAGTGTGTCCTAGGAAATTGGTTGCCTATTCCACCATGGCTGGAACAGTAACTCAGCTGTTGGAAATTTAGCCATGTTAGCTCATTCTTAGGCTCTGAAGGTAACTTCATGCAAATATTTAATTTGATTTAGTCATCTCCCTCTCCCCAATAAGGTCAAGAGCCAATTTCACTGATTTTAAAAATTAATTCATTATCTTTCAAATTTCTATTAAGGCTTTATTTTCTCCTCTTCCCTTCTCTTCCTTTTTTTCTCCTTCCTTTCATTTTCTTTCTTCTTCTCCTTCTCCCTCTCATTTCCCTGTTCCTGTCTCTCCTATTCTCTCTGTTAGGCCTGGCTGGAGTACAGATATGAATCAGACATGTTCCCTACCCATAATCAAAGAGGAATAGTAAGGTGGATAGGGAAAGAATAATGCAGTAAGATAGAATGTGGTAAGAATTTTCAGTACCCTTTTTGGTTAGGGGAGAAAATGCTCACCCAGAGAAATTAGGGAGAGTCACAGGATATGGCCTCTGGGCTGGATGCTGAAGGATGGCTAGAAAGTAGCTACGTGAGGATGTAAAGAGAGAAGAAGAGAGAAACAGGTGGTAATTGCAAGCTAAAGAAGCAGCAGGAGCACAAGCATGGAGGTGGGCTTCTCTTGAGGGGAGTGTAAGAAGAGATACAATGAATGCTACATTTTCTTTCTGCCTAGTCAGCTCTAACATTCTTTGGGGAAAAGGCAGACTTAGTGGATACAGTTCCCAGCTATATTTCCCAAACATCAAATTCTTTGCCAGGCTTAACTTTTCTTGCCATATTTCTTAGTTCCAGAGGTTTTTCAGACATCCTGGTAGATTTTATATGTAGCATGGCCCCATTTAGATAATAACTACTAACATTATCACATCAGTTTCTAAAGGAACCATTGTGGTACCTGTTACTCAATCCAGTGCTGCTCCTTCCATTCTGTTATGGGATGAAGTCATTCTGCAAGGTGAAGCAGGTTCAATAATGGTCATGGAAGAAGATACATTCTTCAATCCAACCTGTTCTAACATCTTGAAAACTATCCATGTAGTCTTTTTGCATCCATTCATCACACTCTCATTGAGCATGTTACAGTGTTCCACATAGATGGGAACATAAGGAATAATAAAACATGTCTCCTGCCTTCCAGATAGTCTGGGGGAACTAAGAGAATACTAGGCGGAAAGTGATAGGGGAAGAAAAGGACAGGTAAAATCTTTTGTAGCTGCATAGTGACAATTTTTTTTTTTTTTTTCCCTAATTGGAAGGTGTTAAAGGGATTACTACAGAGGAGGTAGAATTTAAATTAAGCCTTGAAAGATATGGATGGTTTCATTGACTTGGTTTCCTTACCTTTGGAGACCCACAGAAACCCACATTTTTTTTTTTTTTTCCCTTGTGACATTTTGGAGGATAAAGAGGAAAACTGACCCTTTTCTGAGAATGTATCTCCCCTCTCTCAAGTTTTGTTATATGTGTCAGAGCCTCATATTCATATCCAGATTCCCCAGCATTTTTCTTTCAAAGCTCTCTCTATAACAACTCTCAGACATATAGTTCTGTCTGGAATGTTCACTAACTTCATAATCTTACAGAAGTATGTTAAGGTTGTATCTATAAGGGTTGAAATTTTAGCCTGATGGCTTCTCTTAACTTCATGGGGGTTTTGGTGTCTATTTCCTCAGGATGAATTCCAAACTTTCTCTTGGAAAAAGGTAATGTGGATCTACCTGTCACCATTAAACAGCGCATTTGGTCTCACTCCACACCACCCTCTCATTACAAATGAGGACTACATCATAAATAGAGCCATAAGAAAGCCAGACCTAAAGGTAAGTAAAACGATGGCTCCCAATGATGCCAGAGAAATTTAATCTCTTTTTACCCTCAAATATAAGGCAAAAAACAGGGTCAGATTACCCAATAAGCAAGGTACACATTTGACTTGTGCTTATTTATTAATCTTTAGTGAACTATTTCACCTGAGTTTTACCACATCAAACATGTGGTGAAACCTAGGTAAAATAGTTGACTCAAGATTAGTAAGCAAACACAATTAAGCTCATGAGTACCACATTTACTGTAAGCTAGTACATACTGTGCTTACCGATTAATCTGCCCCTGAGTTAAATTCAGATCTTCCACTTTGCCAGTCCCGAATTGACAATGTAGACTATTACAAAGAGTATGAACTTTGGAGCAAGACAGAGCTCAGCTCAAATCATAGCTTCATCCTTCTAAACAGTGCAACCTTGGAACAGTTACTGAACTCTGCCGATTGAGAGTTTTCTTTATAAAGTGATGTTAGAAATATCAAACTCAACTATCAATTAATAAAATTAAATAAATTAAGGAATATAGTGCTAGGCACATAAAAGATAATCAACAAATATTAGTTCTTAATAACATCATGCTCTGTATTATAAACTGTGTAACAGGATTAATGTTACAGTAAAAGTAATCATCTAGGAATATTATCTAGCAGACCAGGGAAGTTGCTTATGTCCACAAAATGAGCTCATTTAGAATTCTGTAATTCAAATTCCATAATTCAATATTTTGGTTAAAAAAGCCCTCAAAGTCACTGCTGTGGAGTTGGATCTGAAGCTGTATCACTACAGAAGTATATTGCCCAACCTTCTTTCTGAGGAGTGGCTGGTGGGTTTGAACTGCCAGCCTCCTGGTTAGCAGTCAAATGCCTTAGGCACTATGCCACCAGAGCTCCTAATATTTTGGTTACTCTCAATTTATTAATTTAAGATTAAATTAATAGTACTTGAATTGTGACTAGCTAATTTTTGCATATTAAAAACATATTTTACAGACAGAATGTTTTCACTTACATTTATCTATGTGCAGATAGCTGATTTCACCACTTGTCTGTCAATTTGCCCTACTGTGGTGGCTTGTGTGTTGCTGTGAGGCTGGAGGCTATGCCACCAGTATTTCAAATACCAGCACGGTCGTACATGTTGGACAGGTTTCAGCGGAGCTTCTAGACTAAGACAGACTCAGAAGAAGGAAGGCACCATCCATTTCTCAAAGAATTACAAATAGCAGGGAAACACTGTTTGATATATTACTGGAAATTTTTATCTACAGCCGTGAAACATTGTCTTATACAGTGCTGGAAGAAGAGCCCCTCAGGTTAGAAGGCACTCAAATTATAATTGGAGAGGAGCTGTCTCCTCAGAGTAAAGTCAACCTTAATGATGGGGATGGAGCAAAGTTTTCAGGACCTTCATTTGCTGATGAGGCACAATTCAAAATGGGAAGAAATAACTATAAACATCCATTAATAATCAGAATGTAGAATATATGAAGTATGAATCTAGGAAAACTGGAAGTTGTGAAAAATGAAATAGAATGCATAAAGATCAGTATCCTAGGTATTAGTGAGCTGAAATGGACTGGTATTTGCCATTTTGAATCAGACAATGATATAGTCTCCTACGCAGGGAATGACAAATTGAAGAGGAATAGTGTCACATTTATTGTCGTAAAGAACATTTCAATATCTAGCCTGAAGAACAAAGCTGTCAGTGATAGGATAATATCCATATGCCTACAAGGAAGTCCAGTTACTACGACTATTATTCAAATTTATGCACCGACCACCAAGTCAAAAAATGAAGAAATTGAAGACTTTTATGAATTTCTGTATCTGAAATTGACAAAACGTGTAATCAAGATATATTGATTATTGGTGATTGGCATGCTAAAGTTGGAAATGAAGAATCATTGGTAAATATGGCCTAAGTGATAGAAATGGCAACTATACACATGAACCTTGCCAGATGGCAAGGAATACACAGGAATCAAATAAACTACAGCTGTGGAAAGAAGTAATGGAGAAGCGCAATGTCATCAGTCAAAACAAGGCCAGGAGCAGATTGTGGAACAGACTATCAATTACTCATATGCAAACTGAAGCTGAAGAAAATTGAAACAAATCTGTGAGAGCCAAAATATGACTGACTATATCCTACCTGAATTTAGAGACCACCTGAAGACTAGATTTGAGGCACTGAACACCGGACAAGCTGTGGGATGACATCAAGAACATCATACATGAAGAAAGCAAAAAGTCATTAAAAAAACAAGAAAGGAAGAGACTCTGAAACTTGCTCTTGAATGGAGAGTAGCTAAAGCAAACGGAAGAGCTGTTGAAATAGAACTGAACAGAAGAGTTCAAAGGGTGGCTCAAGAAGACAAAGTAATGTATTATAATGATATGTGCAAAGACTTGGAATTAGAAAACCAAAAGAGAAGAACATGACTCCGCATTTCTCAAGCTGAAGGAACAGAAATAAAAATTCAAACCTCAAACTGAAATATAGGTAAAATAGAATTCTGTAATTCAAATTCCATAATTCAACATTTGGGTTACTCCCAATTTATTAATTTAATTTATGATTAAATTAATAGTACTTGAATTGTGACTAGCTAACATTTGCATATTAAAAACACATTTTACAGACAAAATATTTTCACTTACATTTATATATATATATAGATAGATAGACATCACTTGCCTGTCAGTTTGTCATACTGTGGTGGCATGCGTGTTGCTGTGAGGTTGGAGGCTATGCCACTAACATTTCAAATACCAGCAGGGTCACCTGTGGTGGAAAAGTTTCACTGGAGCTTCCAGAGTAAGACAGACTTGGAAGAAGTAAGGGGCCATTCACTTCTGAAAGAATTGGCCAGTGAAAACCTTATGAATAGCAGTGAAACACTGTCTGATATATTACTAGAAAAATTTATGTATAGCCCCGAAACATTGTCCAATATAGTGCCAGAAGATGAGCCCCTCAGGTCAGAAAGTACTCAAAATATGACTGGGGAAGAGCTTCCTCCTCAGAGTACAACTGACCTTAATGATGTGAATGGAGTAAAGGTTTCAGGACCTCCATTTGCTGATGTGGCATGACTCAAAATCTAGGAGAATTGGAAGTTGTCAAAAATGAAATGGAATGCATAAAGATCAAAATCCTAGGCATTAAAACCAAACTCACTGCCATTGAGTTGGATTCGTCTCATAGCAACTCCTCCTTGGGTTTCTGAGGAGGTATCACTATGGAAGTAGATTGCCCCATCTTCTTTCCGAGGAGTGGCTGGTGGGTTTGAACCACCAGCCTTCTGGTTAGCAGTCAAATGCCTTAAGCACTATGCCACCAGAGCTCCCATCCTAGTCATTTAGTGAGCTAAAATAGACTGATTTAGGCCATTTTGAATCAGACAATCGAGTGATCTACTATTTGGGGAATGATAAATTGAAGAGGAATGGCATGTGGTGTTCATCATCACAAAGAATGTATCAAGATCTGTCTTGAAGTACAATGCTGTCAGTGATAGAATAATATCCATATGCCTTCAAGGAAGACCAGTTAATACTACTATTATTCAAAGTTATGCACTAACCACCAAAGCCAAAGATGAGGAAATTGAAGATTTTTACCAACTTCTGCAGTCTGAAATTGACCAAACATGTAATCAAGATGTCTTGATTATCACTGATGATTGGAATTCAAAAGTTGGAAACAAAGAAGAATCACCGGTGGTTGGAAAGTATGGTCTTGGTAATAGAAATGACAGTGGAGATTGCATGATAGAATTTTGCAAGACCAATGATTTATTCATTACAAATACTTGTTTTCAACATTGTAAATGGCAGCTATACATGTGGACTTCACCAGATGGAGTACACAGGAATCAGATCAACTACATCTGTGGCAAGAGGTGATGGAAAAGCTCAATATCAGCCAAATCCAGGCCTGGAGCTGACTGTGGACAGACCATAGACTGGTCATATGCAAGTTCAACTTGAAATTGAAGACAATTAAAACAAGTCCATGAGAGCCAAAATATGACCTTGATAATATTCCTGCTGAATTTAGAGACCATTTAAAGAATAGATTTGATGCATTGAACACCAATGACCGAAAACCAGAGGAATTGTGGGCTGACATCAAGAACATCATACATGTTCCAGCCAAACAAAGTACAGGCATGTGAGTTAAACATTTACCTCAAGTAGACACACGCCCTGGAGAGAACAATCATGGGAGAAGGAAGGGCTGCTTATGTACAGGGAGATAGCTCAGGGTGCAGAAGAGTATGAAGGGATGGACACTGGGAGGAGGTAACTATGGGGAGGAAGTGGGAGGGGAGCTGCTGCATTGTAAATTTTGGTCAATGACATGAGACAAAGTATATGTGAACTGCTGTATGAAAAGTGAATTTACTCTGTAAATCTTCACCCAAATCCTAATAATAATAATAATAATAATAAAAAGAACATCATACATGAAGAAAGCAAAAGGTCACTAAAATGACAGGAAAGGAAGAACAGACAAAAATGGATGTTGGAAGAGACTCTGAAACTTGCCTTTGAGGGAAGAGTAGTTAAAGCAAATGGAAGAAATGACAAAATAAAATAGCTGAACAGAAGATTTCAAAGAGCAGCTTAAGAAGACAAAGTCAATTGTTATAATGAAATGTGCAAAGACCTGGAGTTAGAAAACCAAAAGGGAAGAACACACATGGCATTTCTCAAGCTGAAAGAACTGAAGAAAAAATTTAAGTCATGAGTTGCAATATTGAAAGAGTCTAGGGGCAAAATATTGAATGATGCAGGAAGTATCAAAAGAAGATGTAAGGAATGGACACAGTCACAGACCAAAAAGAATTGATTGATATTCAGTCATTTAAGGGGATAGCATATGATCAAGAACCAATGATATTGAAGGAAGAAGTCCAAGCTGCACTGAAGGCATCGGTGAAAAACGAATCTTCAGGAATCAATGGAATACCATTCAGATATTTCAAC